CTCGGCATCCACCCTGGAGGATGACTGTGAATGCATGGCGTCGGCTGACATCACACGTCTGTTGGGTGCCACCATCTTGCTGTAGATCTTGGTATACACCAAGACGGCGGCGCCCATAGGTGACATCACCTGATGCCGCACGCGCGGCGCCGTGTGACGTCATGCGTCTTGCCTCCAAGATGGCGGCACCCACGTGCAAAAGGCACCAGTGGCCAACATGGTCACCGAATGTTCTATTATGTGCCCAAATATGTTTTTCGTATATTCGGGCATATAATTATATATATATAAAAAGCTGGAGTTCTTCTTTGATCCTTTTACGTGTTCCCGGAGGACTAACAGATTCACAAACTGACCTGCAATGCCTCAAGTAAAGGCAGAGCTTGCATGCTAACCATAGGGGCAAAACAAATATAAACAATAGGGTTCTTGTGCCTGCATCCCCCCTATGCAAAAAAACAACAAAAACAATAGATAGTAAATCGAGCACAGCTGAAGCCCTATGCTACTCTATTAAGATATAAATATGTGCCTTAGTTGGAAGAAATGGCAGTTCATACATCAGCTTCAATTCCTAAGGACGGAATAAGGACCTCAAGAAAGGCTGCTATCTGAAGGTATCATGGACATGACAGTTCCTAAATAATAAAAGTACTGTCCTGCACATGTATAATATGTGCTTGTTGATATGTAAATGTCACTGACAAATAAATAGTGGACCCCCTGTGCTTTACGCAAATTGTAAATGGTGTGAGCCCATAAAAGGGCCTAGGTGTAAAGGCATAAAGGGTGTACCAGTTTGTGGCCCCCAGAATGTGATACAAAGTGGACAGGCATATTCAGAAATAGTGACAGGCCAAATGTCAGGACAGGCATCGAACACACCTAGTAAAATACAAGCAGAAGTCAGTGATCAGCAAAGTTGGAATGCAGGGCTGCAGGAACTAACACAGACTGTATCCTTGGTCTAGGAACTGAACGTATTACATAGGGAATGCATGTTGGCCTGAGCACAGCCAAAAGGTGAGGTTAATTGATAGACTCCATGGGGACTGGCTGTGTAGCTGCTATATTAATCAGCAGGTGGAATCCCACTACACCAATACTTCCCAGTCCTGTGTATCAGAGCAGTCTGCAGTCACAAGGTGAGAGAGATTACATACAGCGTAGTGATAGACTACAAAGAATTGCAGCTTTGCTGCTGATCTGTGCAGGCAAACAACATATTTTTCTTTATCAAGTTTTTATGTCAGTTCAGTGTTATGTACAGATATTCTAACAAAAATAATTAGGGACACAGTGCATGCTTTAATTATTATTTGCATTATATATTGTTTACTGATGTTTAACTTATATCCAATAGAAGTACCCATTGAAAAGAAATGAAGGATGGGCATGGCTGGGCTATGGTAGAGTAAAGAGCACACTAGTGAAGTCCCCACTATCCCAGTCTACACAAGATACAGTATGATGAATTTCTAGGAAGAAGAGAAACAAAAAAAGCTCAAGAACTGCTTTGCATACAGACCTCCAGCAGGTTTTTGTCCCGCGGCATCACCATACAGCAGGCACTCAATAAGGCACTGGCTACTGACCACTCCCCCTCTTCTACACTCGGCACACATAGACATCCCAGTCTTTCTCCTGGGACAGTTTTAGCCTCCTAATTTTTACCTGTCAGGTGCCAGCTGCCTGCTTGCATCTCTTGTTCCACCTTACAAGATCTCTCACACCCAAGACCCAACACAGCCTCAACCTCAGATCAGTTTGATCCTGTTCCTCACCCTGCCCTCTTCTCAAAGAAGTTGCATCCTCCAACTCTCAACATACTGGGTGCCACAAGCTCTCTTACAGCCCCCACACCTCAAAACCCTGCAGCATAACCCTAGCATAACCCCTAGGTGCCATGCATACCACTACAGGACTTCCTCTCATTAGGTCCTTAAAAACACACCACCTTAGGCAAAAAAAGGCTGTGCCGGAACCATCCACACTGCCCCCCAGCTATGTTTCATCCAAGGGCAGTTGCAACCTGAAGCACAGTGAATACCTAAACAGCAGAAAAGATGAAGCAACCCTTGAACATCAGGCCACTGTCCTGGAGGAAGAGACAGATAGCCACCAGGCCCAACTCACTTACCTTTACTTACAATTTAATTATTTTGAAGCAATATATGAATCCGTGGTCTTCAAATAGACAACACAATGACCACCAACACTGAACTCTATAGAGTGCGTAGAGCCCCGAGACTCGCTACCTGATTGGGTACCTGCTACCTGCAGTCCACTTTAACACTGCATAAGAGGAGTTAAGGAGGACCTTGATTTTTATAGGATTACACTTCAAATCCTACTAGACATTTCTAGACGCACCCTTCGTAGAAAAAGAAACCCGCTAAAACCCCTTCTAGGGATACAAGAGCAAGCTAAATATAGGTGTACCCATTACATTTGAAGGTACACAAGGACAATGCTTACTTCATACTCCAAAGCCCTCCAGAGGTTCCTGTGGTCTGGTCTTTTCTATCCAGATAGGTAATTGGACACTCTACCTCCCTGAATTACTCTTTTTCAGATTGGTCTAAGGTCGAGAGTGGTGTGCCCCAGGGTTCTGTGCTAGGCCCAATACTGTTTAACTTGTTTATTAATGATATCGGGGAGGGTGTTAATAGTCATGTTTCTGTGTTTGCTAAGGATACTAAAATCGGGCGAGTAATAGACACGGACTTAGACTATATAACATTACAGGAGGACTTGGATAAAATAGGGGAGTGGTCAACTACAAAAAAAATGAGGTTTCATGTTGATAAATGTAAAGTAATTCATTTTAATGTTAAAAATAGGCAAGAAGAATACATATTAATGGGTACTCCACTAGGGAAATCAGAAATGGAAAAGGATTTGGGTGTCATAGTAGACCACAGATGGAACAATAGTATGCAATGCCAGGCTGTGGCAAACAAAGCGAGCAGAGTAGAGTACTGTCTCTACCTAA